GTTAATTACACTTCATAACTAAATTATAAAGGAGGAGAAGAATTATTTAGCAGTATGTTGGTACAGAATTCCCTCAGCTGTTGCTCCCCCTGAACATGGTTTCTTGGCTGCTGCTCTCTGGTGGGCATCTTTTACATGGGAGTGCGAGTGCGTGGGTTTCTTGGTGCTTGGGTGGAACCCATGACCTCATGCTTCCAGGCATGTTTAACCACTAGTCTTTCCCTCCATGGGAGTTTGATCTCTGGTTTCAAGGAAGATTTTTCACCTGGGCATGGTGGTGGATGCCTGTCATCCCAGCATCCGGGAGGCTGAGGCACGAGGATCACTGCAAGTACAAAACCAGCCTGGGCTACATAGTGGGTTCAAGGCCGGGCTGAACCATACACCGAGACCCTGACTCAGAAACAAACAAACACAAGACAAACATAAGTAAAAATAAAACAAAACAGGGCCAGGGATTTAGCTCAGTGGTTCAGCTGCCTACCTTGCAAGCACAAGGTCCTGCGTTCGATTGGGTACCAAAAACAAACAAGTAAGAGTAGACAAAGGGAAGATTTGAATCCCCAGATTTTTTTTTTTTGAGACAGTCTTATTAGTAGCCCAGGCTGACCTCAAACTCACGGTGATCCTCCTGCCTCAGCCTCCCGGATGCTGGGATCACAGGCATGCATCGCCATGCCTGGCAGTGTGCGTTCATCTTTGTGTGCAGGGCCTGCTGGGGCACCTTTGGCCAGCAAGGCGAACCCAAGTGCACCGTGATTGGGAAATTGCACCAGCGACTTCCTTTTCCCCTGCAACAGAGTGAGGCCCTTGTGGCTTTGAGGCCTTGGGCGCTGGAATGGAAGCTGGAGAGCGGAGGCTGGTGCAATGCCCGCAGCCCAGAGTGGCCTTGAATGCTTCCTTTGTGGCTTGGCGAGGCCCCCGCCACTGCCTTGCAGAGGGTGCTGGAAGGCAGGCCCAGTACGGAGGTGGGGGCGCCAGGGCCTCGTGGGGTGCCGCTGGGTCTGGCTCTGCTGGGAGCCCTGGCCACAACCTGGCAGGCACCTCCACCCCACTGGAGCCCGTGGGCTCCCAGCTCCGGCGCCTGCGGGTGCTTTATGAGTTCGAGTGGCCTGGAGGGCAGTGGCTGGGGGCCTGCGCTGGGCTCTGGGCTGGCATGCAGTGGATCTTCACGGGGTGGAGGCCGGGCATGTCTGGTCTGGTCTGGGACTCAGCAGCTGCTGCTCAGGGACGCTGCCTGCTGCCCAGGAGGCCGAGAGGCTGTGCTCAAAGACCGCCCTTTCCTGTGTCCCAAAGGCACTTTGAGAAGAGTCTCCACCTACTTCGGCAGTTTGAAACCACTGCTGTGTAGCTGGGCCAGGCGGTTCCAGCTCACTGGTGCCATTCATACCGAACCAGAACGACCCCGCTGGCTGCAGTACTAACAGTGTCCTGTTCCCTCCATGGCAGAATTTGGCATAGCTCCGACGAGGGGAAGTGTGCGGCCCTTGCAGGATGCAGTGTCCTCACACATCCCAGTGTGAGTGGCCTGTCCTGGGTGCCGGGCTCCAAGCTCGCATCGGCCCTGCCACCCAGCTGTAGCCTTTGAGGAGAGCCGGCCTGGCTGGGCAGCCCCTGTTCTGAAGGCTCTGCCCACAAGGGAGAGCTCGGGCTGAGACTCTCCTCCATGGCTGCTGCCTGGGGCTGCATGTCTTTTAAAACAGGAAACTGCCCCTAGTCCTGGCCCTGTCCTGTAGAAATAGTATAATTTCTTTAAAAAGTCCTGTACCGGCATTTGGATGATAGTTTGGCAGCTTCTTAGAAAACTAAGCATTTTTTTTGTTTGTTTTACCATGTGATCACTCATGATACTCCTTAGCATGTAGTCAGATGAGCTAAATGGGTGTTTATAGCAACTTTGCTCATAATTGCCCAAACTTGAAGCAAATTGTTCTTCCGTAAGTAAAGGGATAAAGAAACTGTGGTACGTCCATAAAGTGGAATATCATTCAACCCTGAAAAGAAATGAACTAAGATGTGTTATGTATGTGTACCAACTCCTCAGGACAAATGTAATCATTACATACTGAAAACAGTACTAAGAAAAGAAGAGAGCTAACATTGTCGAGGTGGCACAAGAGGAGAGGAAATGAACCCGTGTGCGCGCGTGTATTGCTAGCAGCTTTATTTATAATTGTCCCAAACCGGAAACCTCACCTGTATCCAATGGGGAGGGGCTGGATAGACAAGGGGTGAGGAGGACCTGTGACTCTGGGGGTCTGTGTGTCGCTTCAGTAGTGATTTCACAGTGAAGGCAAATGTCAGAACTTACAGATTGCACCCTTTAAATGTGTGGGTTTCCTTTAAATGTGTGGGTTTCCTTTAAATGTGTGGGTTTCCTTTAAATGTCTGGGTTTTCTCTTTTATTTCATTCAGTTGTTTTTTTAAAGATCATCCCGAGCTGGGTGTGGTGGTGATTACACCCGTAATCTCAGCACTCGAGAGGCTGAGGCAGGAGGGTTTGGAGTTCAAGGCCAGCCTGGACTCCAAAGTGAGAGCCTGTCTCAAAAAAAAGAAAAAGAAATCCCTCCGGCTGCAGTTTGGAGATGGGTTACAAGGCAGCAGGTCCAGTTTCAGGGAGCGTGCCCGCCCCTCGCGCTCTGCCGTTGCTCTGCAGCCCTAGGGCTGGGATGGTTACAGTGCAGAGGGCGGGGTCTCTGCCCAGCCCGGGCCCCTGAGGGAGCTGAGCACTCATCCCTTGCTCTCCTCCCTGTGGGCCCCGCCTCTCTCTGCTCAGAGTCTGCACCGGACTCCAGGACGCAGCTGCCGGCGGGCCGGAGGAGACCTGTTCATCTAGGGCAGCGCTGGTCCTGGCCCATCCCGAGGGCCACAGGGCTGAGGCTGGAAGAGCCACACAGTGGAGGAGCCGGGTTCAGGTCCATCTCCACTCCCCAGCTGCGTGGCCTTCAGCCAGCAGCAGGGCCTTCCTGGAACTGGGGCGCCCAGGATCGCGAAGCAGCAGTGCATGCTCTGCCCCCACCCAGGCCTGCGGATGGGCCGGCGGTCTTCCTGTTGCCCGTGGCAGGACCCCTCCCCGCCGGCCCAGGGCTTCCTTCCTTCCTTGCTTTGTGTCTGGCTCGCCGGGAGCACTCGGAGCCCCATGAAGAGGAGCCAGGAGTGGGCACGGATGCCTCCGTCGGCCTGTCAGGAGGACTCTGTCCGGTTAGGGTTGTGTTACACGGGGGATTGGCTGAAATGTGCCGCATGGGAGGCTTGTAATTTGTGTGTTTCACTGTTCCCGAGTTGCACTTGAGAATAGTTAAGTGTGGGCAGAGCGCAGACTCCGGTAATGACAGTGTTTAGGGAGGAAGTCCAGGGGTGACGTGGGCTGCCGTCTGCAGCTTACTTTGAAGCAAACGCCTCCGAAATAAGGTGGGGGCCACCCACTCGGAACCCCTTCTGTCTCTCCTAGACAGAAGCTGTCTTTCTCTCAATAAATGGTTCCTACTCTAAAATAAACAACAAGCTGGGGCTGGATTGTACCTCAGCAATAGAGCACTTGCCAGGGATGTGCCAGGCCCTGGTTTCAATCCCCAGCCCTGCAAAAGAATAGAAAAGAAAAATGAAGAAGAGGAAGGGGGAGGGAGGGAGAAGGAGAAGGAGAAATACTCTACCTATTTTGGTGTATTTTCTCCTTGAATATTTCTTTTCAGTACTGTGGACTGAGCTCAGGGACTCTCCTACCACTGAGCTATGTCCCAGCCTTTTTATTCTGAGCTAGGACCTCACTGAGTTGGCCAGGCTGACCTTGAACTCACTGTGGAAACCAGACTGGCCTTGAACTCACAGTGATCCTCCTGCCTCAGCCTCCCAAGTGCTGGGATTACAGGTGCACACCACATGCCGGCCCTTTTTTTTTTAAACTGGCATATTACTTACATAGTTGTGATGTCTTCGCTTCCCTGTCACGGGGAGTTCTTCCAAGGGACTTCAAGCCCCGTCCCCACCCTGTGCTGCTGGCATGGGGATGCTGGGCCGGCCGGGATGGAGAGACTCGGCCCATTCACAGGCAGGCAAGGGTGGGGAGCCCCGGAACAGCCCAGCGAGCTTATTTATGCTGCAGCACCTTCTCGCTGTGGGCCATGGCTCAAGAGGCAGGATTCCTTTGCCCTGGGCTGTACCCCAGGAGCTGCTGGTCTTGCAGATGAGGAGCCCAGCCTCACAGCGCTGACAGTTCTTAAATTTTTATCCTGCTGCTCCTGGAACCTGCACAGCAGGAGGAACTGACTTCCACTTCCGGGGAGGAAGCTGCAGGAGTAGCAAGCCAGAGGCTGCGGGAAAGAGCCTGGTTTCTGGTCCATGCGCTGCCTTCAGGCCTGGGGCTGCAGGGGAGGAGAGAGGGTGTGGGAGCCATCATCAGGGGTGGGCGTGCAGGGGGAGGCACCACTCAGGTCTGGTCCTTTTCATAACAAGCGAGGGTAATAGTCCTAGTTGGAGGGGTTCACAGAGCATTAAAGGCAGTGATTCGATTGAGAGTCCCTGGCCCACCTGCCGGCCAGGTGCACTCCTGCTGCAGCTGGGCCCCAGGCATCTTCTGAGAACTCTGGGCAAGGGCGTGGGTTGGCCGGCTCAGTTTTCTGGACCCTAGAGGAGGCCAGGGCGCAGGGTCAGGGCCGCGTCCTGCCTGGGGCTGCTTCCAGCCCGGGGAGAGAGAGCTCTTGCAGACCCTAAGGGCCAAGGGATGGAGGGAGGGAAGGGAAGGGATGTAAGAGTGCGATTCCAAGATGAAGGGAATCATGCACTGCACGTGGACCAATAAAAATAAGAAATTTGTCCATCCAGCAAAAACAGAAAAAAGAAGGCTGCTCGCCAGAAGGGACAGACATCTGAAGGAGCCACCCAGGGATTTGGCGCTGGGCTGATCGTGGGGAGGGCGGCTTCTAGCCCTGTCCCTCGGCTTTGCTGTGACTCAGTTTACCCTCTTGGCTCCCTGGACTCACTGGTGTGTTCTTGCCCTGCAGGAGCCTGCGTGAAATGCAGCAAAGGAGTGTTTGGGGCCGGCCAGGCCTGCCAGGCCATGGGCAACCTCTACCACGACGCCTGCTTTACCTGTGCCTCCTGCAGTAAGTGTGGGCGCGGAGGGAGGATGGGGTGGGTGCCTTGGGCTCCTCCCCGTCTGCCTGCTGACCGCCGCCCCAGCTGCAGGCCTCCGGGCAGCCCCTCAGCCAGTGTGACGCAGGCTGCCGTGTAGCTGTTTGGCCCCATCTTGGATCTGGAGCAGCTGAGAGGTGTGTGTATGTGTGGCCCTGTGCTCATGTGTGAGTGCACCACACACACACTAGAGCTCCTGAGCTCACATCTGAGGGTGTCTGTACGCCAGTGCATGGGTGATTAAAGTGACAGCCGGGGACATGAACTTCCGGCTGCTGTGTGCCGTGGAAGAGGCTGTCATGCAGGCCGTCGGCCACATCTGGCAACCAAGTCATGAACTGGGCTTGTGTTGTGGTCTCTACCACTGCAGATGAACTTGGAGAAGGGTTTTTGGAAGGCCAGGGTCACACTGAGGGTCACTCTGGGTCACCCTGCATCTGGCGGCTCTCAGTTCCAAGGAAGCAGCACAGAGCCCCAGTGTCAAGGTGGAGAGGTCTTTCTTACCTTCTGGCCTGCTGCCTGGAACCTAGCAGCTCACTAGAATCACCTAGGGAGACTGAAGACCCAGGGAGGCCCCAGCAAGCTCAGGGGTGGGGTTTCCAGGGTGGAGCTCCTCAGGCAGGTTTGTGCCTTAAGCAGTGCTCACCCTTGTAGGCAAACACTGGGGAAGACTTGGGGCTGGTCAAGGGATGCCCTGCCTGTCCCCTGTGGAGTTGCCTGGAGCCTGCTTCCCCAGCCTGGCCTTTCCTTTCCCTGTCTCTGAGCTCTGTCGTGCTATTTGCTGTAGGAAGCTGGTGGGAGCACGTGGTGTCGGGTGGTTGATGCTGCCTTGTGGCACCAACCAGTTTGCGTCAACTAAGGAACTTTATTTCAGCCTTCTTGATGCCTGGCTCTTTCCCTTCACCTGGTCGCAGCATCGTATTGGTTCCCTCGTGAACTGATAGGTTAAATCAGATCTTCTGAGGCATGTCTGTGGTTTATCTGTATGGGAATCATGCTCAGACCATCCTTTAAAACTTACCTTACAGCTGCTTCTCAGTATTTGCTCTGCTTACCAGGAAAAAGAATAAACACCAACCAGAGGCTGTTTTTCACGTCTTGAGTTAGTGCTTGGACCAGGAAAGCTGTTGGGAGGAGAGCACCTCACCTTCTGGTGCTGCCACAGCAGAGCTCCGTACCTGGGTGGCTTAGGAACGACAGGATTTGTTTCTTGCTGTTCTGGAAGCTGGGAAGGCCAAGGCCCAGTTTCCGGCCTTCCAGCCTGGGTGTCTGGGGAAGGCCGCTTCCTGGGTCCGACGGTGCCTTCTCTCTGGGTCCTCCCGGAAGGGCGCAGGAGCCCCGGGCCACGTTGATCAGGGCCAGATCCCCAGGCCTGAGGCCCTGCCCCTTTGTGCCGTGGGCTTGGGGGTTGGGACTGCAGCACAGCCACTTTAGGGGGACCCAGGCGCAGTGCGGACGGCCGGCCCTGGCCAGCTCCACACAAGGCTGCTAGGGGAGCCCTCTGCCCCTGAGAGGACCGAGCCTCACAGGTTTTCCTGGGCGCACATTCAGAGTCTTTGCTTGTGGTCTGGCGGTGCCCTGCCTGTCACTTCCTCCTTCCTCTCCCTGTCACCCTGAGCGTCCCTTTCTTACTTCCATGCCTCCGACCACAGTGCTCTGGAGCCGTCGGTGTCCGAGCACTGTGGGCCCTGTCTGTCAGCCGGAAGGCTGGGCTCCAGGCCGCTCCACAGCGACCTCTGCTTGCCTGGTGCCCAGAAGCTGGGATTCCCCTGGCGCTGCCGAGGGCGCAGAGCCCTGGGCTCCGTCAGCGGCGATCGTGTGGGGCTGCATGACCGTCCTGCGTGCCTCTGCGTGCTGGGGGCCAGGCCTGTGTCAGCAGCTTCCACTGGGCAGAAGGAGCTGGCCTTTGTTTTGCTGATGCCCTGCTGCTTTACCTCAGCGGCTGGGTTCAGGCCCTGTGAGTCCTTGGGCAGCTTCCTGGGTCCCTGTCCCCGTCGGTCCAAGGAATGGCATTGCGACAGGAGTGGGGTGGCTGCAGTGTGGAGCGGGGACATGGAGGCACAGCCCTGGGGACAGCCGACGGCCTGGGAGCCCCAGCTCCATCCCCAGGGGCAGGACTTGCGTCCCCTTTTTTCCAGGGACAGGTGGGTCCCCTGCACGGTGCTCCCATTTCTGGCTCAGGGTCAGGAGCAGCTATGGTCAGTGTTCAGCCGCCTGTGAGAACCGCACATCAGAATGCAAAGTCAGAGCCCGGCCCGGCTGGAGCCTTTTAAATTTTCCTTCCCAGGTTTGGTCCAGGTTTGTGCGCATTCCTTGGAGCTCTGATCATAACGTGTAAACAGCGCACCCTGCCCGCCCGCACACCTGGATGGAACACCGTGTCGCCCTCGCCAGGAGCACTGTTGCAGCTCCATGGTAACCGACCGTGGCGTCCCGCAGCCTTGTTTCTGGCTGTGTTTGTGCCAAAGTCTCCCCTTCCCGAGGTCTCCTTGCTGCTCCTGCCTGAAGTAAGCAGGGAGCCACGGTTGTCTGTTCCCAAAGGTCCCTTTCCTTGCTGTGTATGGCTGCCATGGAGATGAGTGCTGTGCCCCACACTCGGCACCCTGCACCCTGGAGCAGGAGGGCAGGAGTGGCAGTGGCCCGCACGGAAGCTCTGGGTGTCAGGTGGCGTCTGAGTCTGAGGAGGAGCTGGCGCCATCTGTGGCCAGAGAGGAGGAATGCAGGGAAGAAAAGCGCCCTGATGGGGGTCCCTGCAGACCAGACCAGCAGCAAGGAAACAGGCAGGGGCTTGGGTCCCCTCTAAAACAGTCTGGAACCAGACCTGGCGGTGCACACCTGTGATCCCAGCTCTTGGGAGGCTGAGGCAGGAGGATCGCTCCAAATTCGAGGCCAGCCTAGCAAGGCTCTGTCTGAAAACAAATAGATAAGTAAATAGGAAGATTTTGTTCGTTTTGTAAAGATTAAGGAAATTCCACTCGGAAGTCATGGTGAAGCTGTTGACCACATTTGTTAGTGTTCACAGTTTCTCTTACTTTTCAGCTGCATGAGTTGGAAACTTCACTTGGCTGAGGCTGGGAACACGAGAGCCCCCGGTCTGGGGAGCAGGGAGCTGAGGCAGCTGGGGGGCCACAGAGGGCCGAGCAGAGAGGTCACTCAGGCCACAGGGTGGCTGCACTGGAGCAGCCTGGCTGGAGGCTGCTCGCGATCTGCCACCTGACGGACCTGGAGGAAACAGGACCCCCTTGTCCTGAGGTCCTGTGAGGTCGTCCTCTCCCTCGGGCACCAGCGGTCACACCCGCCGAAGTGGGTTTGATAGTGAGCCGTCCTTCGTTTCTAGTTTCCATTTCCAGTTTCCAGCTGGGGAAAGTCTCCAAGGGTGACAGCCCGCAGGACACCACAGAGCGCCATTTCCTCACCTGAGGGGAGGAGGACTTGAGGACCTAGCCCTTGGGAGGGAGGTGTTTCCTGAGTGCTGTGACCCGGCAGGAAGTGCAGAGCAGCCGGAGCCACGGGAAAGGTCTTGTCAACTGTTTGGGTCGTTTGGTTTTTTGAGACAGGGTCTCCCTGTGCAGCTCAGGCTGGCCTTGAACTCATGGTGATCCTCCTGCCTCAGCCTCCGAGTGCTGGGGTGTCAGGACTGTGCTTCTGCCCCTGGGTGCCTGGTTACTTTGGACACTAGATGTTGTAGGTTTTGTCCTACGAGCCCTGGATATTGTGCATTCTTTCACTCTTCTGGGCTTTGCTGTGGATGATGCCATTAGCAGCTGAAAAGAGCCATCCTTCCCAGCCTCGATTTTTGGACTTGCTGATGGCCTCGGAGCCGCTCAGGTGGCCTGTTGTTCCCCAGGCTCGGCTGGAGGGAGCAGGGGCTCTGTCCACCCTGAACAACCTCTGGCCTCGCCGCCTCAGGTGTCTCTGATCTCGGGATCTTGGTTCCTTTCCTCGGCAGCACCGAGCTGAGTGCCCCGCATGGACCCTGCACCAGCTCTGGGCTTTCACGGCCCAGCGTTCTCTCCCTCGGTCTGGTCTGCAATGGCCTGCTGCAGTGGGAACAGAAAAGCAGAGGAGTGGATTTGCAACACTGCAAGAACAAGAAAGACCCGGGCATGGTGGTGCAGGCCTGTAATCTCAGCACTTGGGAGGCTGAGGCAGGAGGATTGCCATGAACTCAAGGCTAGCAGCCTGGTTTACATAATGAGTTCAAGGTCAGCCTAGACTGCATGGTGAGACCCTGACTCAAAAAGTTAAAAAAAAAAAAATATGGAAAATGCCCTGGGAGTGGCAAGAAAGAGACACATTGGGGCAGACGGCAGGCAGGGTGCATAGGGACTCTGACACCCGCCGGCCAGTGACTGCGTCCGTCGTGCTGGATGCACTGTGTTGGGGCCTGGACTGTATGTTTCGTTTTCTGTGCAACTGCATTTTACAGGAAAGTAAGTGACAGAGGGAAATTAAAGGCCACCCCCGCTGCTCATAACCACAGCAGGGCTGAGAAGGACTTGTCATTGCAGCCCACGTAGGTGTCACTGGTGGAAACCAAAGGTCGCTAACGGGACCAGGGCATGGGGAACAGACCAAGCTGGCTGTTGCTGGCTTCCCCACTGTGACACCTCCTCGTGTCCCAGCTATGACACCTCTGCCAAGTGACTCAAAGGGCTCGGGCAGCCCGGGGTCCCCTTCCTGGGAGGAGGAGGAGGAGGAGGAGGAGGAGGAGGCGAGGGGACCCCGGGCTGAGCAGTCCCACTCCCACTCTGCCCTGTTCCTTGGCTTGCTGAGCCCAGGTGAGCCTGCAACATCTGTTTCCTTTGAGCCAAGCCAACTCGGTTTTTTTTCGTTGTATTTATTAGCATTACCCCTAACCCCGGCCCTGGGGATTGAGCTGCATCCCCACCCCCTTTTTATGCTTTATTTTGAGATAGTCTTGCTAAGTCACTAAGTTGCCCAGCCTGGGATCAAACTTGTAGTCCTCCTG